GCTCCGCGTTACTAAAAGCTATGGCCTTATCACATGTCTTCAGGATTTCTATCACACGTTCTCGCTCCTGTGGGGTCAAATTCCCATCTCCGCTGTCCATCCCTGCTATCCTCTCTTCCGTTAGGCGTTGCGGCTCCTTTCTCTTTCTTTCTTTGATTTCTTTCGCGATCTCTTCTTCCGATATCCCTTCCAGTGCAGATCGCTCGCGGCCCACCGCCGCTGGCGTAACTTTTTGAGCTACTCGCTTGTGTCGCTTGGGTAGCCCCCCATAGGGGGCCGTGCCCTTAAAAAAGATACGGATACCACACCGCCAAATTCCTCATCTTTTTCCTTTCGGTACGAGTTGTCGTCCACTATTAGCCAACTTCTTAAATCTTCCACCTCCACGATCCGACCTTCTTCCTCTGTGAGCAGTGGTCCATATTTCTTCTCACGAAATCGCACCGCGCGGCCGGAGATAGGTAACGACTTAATCTGATCACTGGGTCTYGCACCCACAGCGAGAGCTGCTCTGTTCCTCGGGTCCCGAGGCTCCACTGTTTCAATCATTACCCGCGTCCCATCTCGCTTCTTCATGGACAATGTTTGGCTCCCATCAGGTCGCTCTATCGTCACCGCATGCACGTGGCTCAGCCACGTTCGACCCAAGAGCAGGTCGGAGCTGCAGTTCTTGACTGCAAAGACAGGCAGGGTCACTCGTACCCCTTTGACCTCTATGGCTGCCTTGTGACAAACCCCAGTGATCTGTTGCTTTCTCCCATCAGCCGTCTCTATCTCGAATAGGTATGACCTATCGAGGCCCAGTCCAACCTGTACTGCCAGGTCCTCGTCTATGATGATAGCCTCACTGCCGTTATCGATCACAGAATCGAGTACCGCTCCATCGTTTATAATCGTCTCCACGGCCCCGCTACCAAGTATATAAAACTTGTCTGGAGGTACACCTTCCATTCCATCGAGAAGGACTGTCGTCATGCGATCCGCTCTGGCAGTCACCCCCATTACTGCTACTGTAGAAGCTTTCGCCTTAGGGGCCCCCTGACCCTCCTCCGATAGAGGTATGCGAGTCTTCCGCGTGATCATCTGTAACTCATAACGAGCCGGCTTCGATGCCGCCAGGTACTCCAGAATAGAGCACTGCATGGGTTGCCGAAGGGCCCGCCTCAATGGCTCGACCGTGTCAATCTCGTCCAGCGAACTCTTCATTAAGAACTTCTTCACTCCCCGCTTTCGCGGCGAAAGGATAACCTCCTCTCCATCGACCCGCTGCCCGTCCTTCTCCGCCATCACGTAATCTGTATCAGTCTTCTTCGATGTAGACCCTCTCGCCGACTTGGTGGCTGCCACCCTTATGGGTGTGGTCGCCATATCCCCCTCAAAGGTTATCTTGATGCTCTGGCTCCTGACCGGCTCCTTTTCTTTACTCGGCTTTACTCTCCTTGCTTCGACATTCTCCTTCATCGAAGGGAACATCGATACATCTCCCAGACCATCTGCCCACTTGACGTACTTGCGGTCGTCAAGCAC